GTCCTGCGCTGCCGGGCTTCAGCGTGGCGCCGAGCCCCGCTGCCTCGCCGCTGCCACCGTCCAAAGCGAGCCCGACGGACGGTGCTGCGCCAAAGGCATCGCCGCGCGACGAGCTCACCGACCGCTTCCCGAGCCTTGCGGATCTCGACGCTCGCTTTGCATCGCCCAGCAGCGCGCCTGCCGATACGGCCAGCAGTGCATCTCGCGTCAGCGTTCCCGGGCTCGCGAATCGTGCCAGTGTCGGAGCCATGGCGGGCCGATTCGAGAAGCCGTTTGAGCCCCAGCGTCCCGGCTCTGGCCGCGCCGCGCTAAGCAAGTCGGCGACCATCTCGGCGTTCTCGTCGGCGGAGGATGCGACCAAGGCGCGCTCGGGCAGCGTGTCGAAGCGCTGGCAGCCGTCGGTGCTTGCGCACGACCAGCTGTCCAAGAAGCCCGATCTGCCCTCGAGCGCACCGGTGCTGCGCAAGACGCCCGCGTCGAAGGACTGGCTCACTGGCGATGCGTCGGACGACGACGAAAAGCGCGCGCCCGCACCCAAGCAAAAGATCATCGCCACGCCGCTGCGCGCGCCCGAACAGCCGGATGATGTGGGTGGGCAGGAGATCGAGGACGACGAGCAGTCGTCTGACGACGACGCCGCCGAGCCCGAGGAGGCAAGTGCACAGCGGCCCGACATTCCACCGCGACTCAGCGCGGACCGACTATCTTCCTTTACTGCTTCCGCACCGTCCGAGTCGGACACGAGCGCATCCGCCAAGCCTGAGCGGCCACGCATCGTGCCCGGGCGCGTCAAGGCACCTTCGTGGCTGGTGGACGCCGTGGACTCGCCGACTGCAGCCGAGCGCTTGATATCGCCGTCAAGCGCACACGCCGGTCCGCTATCGCCCGGTGGTGACATTACCGACGCGAGTGCAGCCGAGCAGCTCGATGCGGCTGCCCTTAGCGCACAGCACCAGCTGGAAGAACTCCTGCGCGGTCCGTCGGACGCTGCCACCCCTCCCGCTGCCACCCCTCCCGTCGCCGCCGCCGCCGCCGCCGTTGATCAAGAGGTGAGCCCGGTAGTGCCGTCTGCCAAAGTCAAGGCGCCCGCATGGGACGATCAAGACGACGACGAGATGCACAAGCTCGCACAGCCCATGCGAGCCGGTACGAAAAAGCTGGTGGACGTTGCCACGTCGCCGGTCGACGATGTCGTGCCGCGCATGGCGTCGCTCCATGTGGCCGACGCACCGCCCGCGCGACCGGCGAGCATTGTAGCGCAGCGGTCGCAGCAGTTTACCGCCTCGCCGGGCGAGCCGAGGCGACCCACGCCCATTCGGCCCAAAAAGGGCGAGGGTCTGACGAGGTGGTCCGCCGCCACGTCTAGCAAAGTCGCAGCTAAGGTCCGAGTCGATGGACCGGGCACCCAACGCGTCTCGTCACGAGACTCGAGCGTTGGCGGGATGAAGCCATGGGAGCGCGAAGCCGCTCTTTCTGCAGCAGCCCTGCACTCGAGCGTGGTGAAAAACACGGCGCTACCACCCGCATCCACCTCGCTCCACACCTCTTCCTCCCCCCTTACTGCGGATCCTACCGCGGATCCTACCGCGGATCCTACCGGGGAGCAAGTCGAGACCGACCGCTTCAATGGCGTCTCGAGCCTCATCTCGCGCTGGCAGCACAATGTCGAATCCAACGCGCCCGGTTGGGGCCACGTCGGCACCCCCCGTCGCTAGCCCCC